ACAAGAATTGCATGGTGCTGTCAAATGGTTGCAAAGATTATAACAGCATATAAAAGAACTCGGTCTTCAAGGCTTCGGAATACCCACAGTGCTCAAACCTTGCTGTAGAATAATTCAGAAAAACATACAAGGATACACCGGAGCCAGTAACATATTTTTCTTGATTTTATTGATCAATATAATTATATATAAAAAGGAACTTTAAATCATTGTTATGTAACCAGCCTTGTGAAATCTGTGTATTAAACAAAGCCGAAGAGGGATAACTCTAAGGAAATTAAGGTTATGCTGTATTTATTTATTTATTTTAGGGGGGGGGGGGGCATAGTTTGTTTGTTTTGGGGTTTTTTGTTGACTGTTAAAGGGGAAATAATCATTTGCTAAGAGAGATAACTCAATTGACGATTCACTGTAATTCCTTCATAAACTGACGAGATAACTGTTTATTTACGTTTGTATTTGTTGTTGTATGCTGATGATACAGTTATTTTAGCAGAGTCAGCTGCTGAACTGCAAGCTTCTTTAAATGCAATGTACTTGTACTGTCAAACTTCGAAGATGCAAGTTAATTCTCTTAAAACAAAAGTTGTTATTTTTTCTCGCTCTAACATGAACACTGATAATTTACATTTTACTTATAATGGTGATAGACTAGAAATTGTTAGAAACTTTCAATATCTTGGAATATTTTTTTCTAGTAAAGGTACTTTTAATGACGCAAAGTCACATCTGGTACAACAAGCCAGAAAAGCTATGTATATTGTTCTTAGAAAATCCAGGAAATTAAATTTACCTATTGATATGCAACTGCAACTTTTTGACACCATGGCTGTACCTATTTTGTTGTATGGTGTAGAAGTATGGGGTTTTGAAAACTGCAGCATTTTAGAATCCTTTCATATGGAATTTTGTAAAAAAAAATTTGAAAGTTAAAAAAACTACTCCTCATTGTATTGTTTATGGAGAGCTGGGTAGAATACCACTTAGTATATTAGTAAAGTCTAGAATGGCTGGTTTCTGGCAAAGGATTTTGTGTGGTAAAAATGAGAAAATTTCCTTCACATTGTACTCAAGTTTGTATCAATTTAGCTCAAAAGGTTTTTACCATTCAAAATGGCTCATGGAAATTAAGAATATTTTACATGATTGTAATTTGGATCTAATGTGGAATGCTCAGTATGTTGATAAATCATGCAAAATTGGTGTGTTGGTTAAGAATACATTAAGAAATAGTTTTATCCAAGACTGGAATGTAAATGTATTAAATTCTCCAAAATGCCTTAATTATAGAATGTACAAGTGTGATTTTGGTTTTGAAAATTATCTAAACATGTTACCAAATGATCTTAGATTATATTTATGTAAATTTCGTTTTGTCAGTCATAACTTGCCAATTGAAGCTGGTAGATTTTATAGTATTGATAGATCTGAGAGACATTGTAACCTCTGCAATAACAATGAACTTGGTGATGAGTTTCATTATTTATTTAAGTGTCCTTATTTTAAGAATGAAAGACAGAAATTTATACCTAGCAATATTTACACAAATCCAAACACAATATCTTTTTATAATTTGATGAATACTTCTGATATATATGAACTAATAGGTTTAGCTAAGTTTTGTAAAACTGTTCTTAAATTATTTCATGCCTGAACTTCCTACAATGTAAACATTAAACGATTTTTTTTTTATACAACCGTCAGTACTGTCCATATCAAAGTTCTTTTTGTGGTTCATTATGTTAACTGTTCACATGTTGATTTGTTCAATTGTTAAACTCTTATTGTACTAACATACCCCATGTGGGGGCTTTAGGGAAAATAAAAGTTTCAAGTTTCATAAAAAATTCTTTTCATCTCAAAGAACATGGATGAATAATGACCCCCGTAGAAAAATGAGAAAAAATGACCGGGTCATTTTTGACGTCAAAAAATGACCCCAGTCGTAGCAAAATGTAATTTATTTTTGGAAAAAGAACCGTAGGGTGTCAGTTTTCTACATGTGCACCCTATAAGAAATTGACCCCGTTGAAAAACGGCCTCTATCCCATCAGAGTACAAAGTTTAAAAGAGTTAATTGACGCCAAGGTTAGGTCTAAATGTTTAATTCCCTCGCGTTTTTATGACGAACACTGGACGAACACGCAATTAAAATGAAAATCACGAATAATGATGGACCCCCTTCCGAAGTGACGGTCATTCAGTCTACCGATCGAACCTAGTTTGAAGGCCAAGGGAATTGTTCGGGAAAACTGGATATTATCTCTCTCTCTCTCTGGAAAATATATGGGAAAAATATTTTTTTTAAACGATGATACATTTGTCTTGAATCAATATCGGATCATTTCCACACAGTGTAGATTAAAGTCGATTAATGTTGTATCATCGCTGTATCCCAACTTTTATCTGAGGTGAGCATTTTGGCCCACGGGCCTCTTGATTTACAATTCCTTATCTTTAACCCCCCCCCCTCCCCAAGACATTCTCAATAAAATCTACTAGGGTTCAATAAAAAGCCAAAACCATAAATACAACAATACAAGAAACACTACTTTTGCAAGCCAATTTGTATCTCCAAAGTTTGGAGAGACTCTAAATGTACATGTACATGTAGTTTGAAATACAATTGGAAAGAAAAAATCCATTTAAAATAAGATACTAGTACCTTTTTGTTTGTATGGATACAGTTAAAATTTGTCCGACCGATTAAATTGTACCGATTTTTTTTTTCAGAAACAAGTTTGACCGGATGATAAGAAAAAGATTTTAATGCCTCAAAAAGGAAAATTGGTTGAATGAGATTTAAAATTTTCATTTTTCGTACTTCGTATGTTTCAATGGAACTTGTCGTCATTTTGAGGAAGGGAGACTTGTAACAGTATGTAGCCCCCTTCTCCCTCATACATAAGTTTAGCCATGATATTTTTTTTGGGGGGTGGGGGGGTGGGGGTGGGGGGTTGGCTCTGGGGGAAATCGCACTCTATAACTATTACACAGTGTAGAATTTCCCCCCGAAAAATTGAATCTGGTGTTGGATTTCCGTAGGGGAAATCGTACTATAGAGTCATTTTTCCGTGGGGCAATCCTACTCTATGAGCCTATTTTCCGGGGGAAATCCTATTCTAGAGCAAGTTTTCGGGGGGGGGGGGGGGGTAGAGGGGAAAGCCTACTCTACCAGGTTCATTATTCGTCTTTACATCTGTTCGCTATTCCAGATCTGCTTCTAGGTTTTTCATTTAAATTTTATATCATGAAATATGAAGACAACGAGCAGTAATCAAGCTCAAAAGTCCACTGAAAGGATACAAATTGGGAGCAGAGCAAACACGGATCTCTAAAAACATAAGAGGTGGGATCAGGTGCCATGGAGGAGTAAGCATCCTCTGTCGACCGGTCACACCCGCCGTGTGCTCCTTGTCATGATCGGGGAAACGAAAAATCCGTATTCAATTCAGTGCGGAAATAATGGCCTATTAATTTGTTTCCCTATGACATAAAGACCCCCTACTGAGGGCAAAAATCCCATAATCAAGACACACCTCTGGTCACAATGCAACTTTGTATTAAGTATGAGCCTCTAAAGATTCTAGATTGTAAAGACAAGATCCTGTCGTGAACAAGAGGCCCATGGGCCACATCGCTCACCTGAGCACTTTGGCTAGGAAAAAGCAGAAATCAGTTCAGTATTGAAAAGTTTAAATATAAATGTGGCTCTGACATTTGATCTTCTACTGAGGCCTTGCCCTACCTCCAGGGACATGATTGGCACACATTTGAAACCCTCTACCTGAGGATGCTTCTGAATTAATAAGACTAAGTTTAATGTTCTTGAGAAGAAAATTTGTATCAATATGTCCCTTATATTCTTTTTTATAACATTGTCCCCTGTTGTGGCCCCATCCAACCCCCAGGAGTCATGATTTGAACAATCTAAATCTGCAATACATGAGGATGCTTCCATATTAATATGACTCAACAAGACTTTGCTATTCATGAGAAGAAGATTTTCAAAGATTTTTCCTATGTATTCCTATGTAAAACTTTGACCCCCCATCCTATCCCCAGGGGTCATGAATTGAACAAACTTGAATCTACTTCCATATAAATATGTCCAATCATGCCTTAGGTGTTCTTGAGAAGAAGATTTTTAAAGATTTTTCCTATGTATTCCTATATAAAACTTTCACTATTTCTTAAAATTATCTCCCTTAGGAAGAGGGTGTGGCCCTTTATTTGAACAAATTGGAATCCCCTTCACCCAAGGATACTTTGTGCTAAGTTTGGTTGAAATTGACCCTATGGTTCTGGAGAAGATGAAAATGTGAAAAGTTTATGACAACAATGACGACAATGGACAAATTTCGATTAGAAAAGCTCACTTGAGCCTTCAGCTCAGGTGGGCCAAAAAGTTCATAAAGTTTAAAAAAAAAAACTTCGAAAAAAAATTGTCAATCAATATGAAAATATCAGGTGCACATCTTTATATGGTAAATAAAGTGTAAAACTTTCAGAAAAATTCATCCACTGTCTCTTAGAACATGCCCAGACAAAATCATGTCTAAAGAGTGACAGTCAGTCAGACAGATAGACTGACAGTCAGACAGATATGGTGATTTCAATATACATGTACCCCTTAAACTTCATTTGAACAGATCCAAAAAGATAGGATGTAAGTCCAGTCTGTGATCCAGATTCTGTGATGAGTCAAATCCAACTTATAAACAATAGCAGGCTTATAAAAGCAGGAAATTAACAAAGGATTAATTTAGGCTGTATGCTTTCCAAAGGGAACATAAATCCACATGAAATACAGAGATTGGCTCAAAGACAATATCAAATCACCGTTAAAATCACTGATCTGAAATTATTGGTACCTTTGCACACAAATAACTAATCCAGAGTATAGAGTTTATACAGATCTAAGAAGTCTGATTCTAAATATATTTTAAAACAACATGCTTAATGTCATGTCATTTAAATAAAGAAAAGCTTGTGTCGACAAAAATTTTTTATTGTATAGAGATATTCCTCAAATGTTTGTACCAACATCAATCTCTCTTACACACACAATACAGACACATACATACATAAACTATAACACTGTGTGTAGTTAACAAGTCACCTCAACATGAGCACTTCTGATATGCAATAAATTATAATGCCTCATCTGTTGTTTTTTTTTTTTTTTGCTTTTGTTTTGTGTTTAAAGAACTATGTGCAGATAAAAAGTGAAGCAGCTATCAGACTGGTGAACAATACATCAAACCTGTGACAGTGCAATGGAAACATTTCTTTGCAGAATTGATTAATAGATTCTGTATAACATTTATGTGTAGATATTTTGAAATTATACATCAGGAACCACGACATGTACTGGTTAAGTTACAGCAGCAACATTGCACTAAAAATCTGCCTAAAAACGTATCTGATCAATGAGATCCTTCTTCTAGTTATATCTATAGTTGTACCTTACCATAAAACACATTAGATTCAACAGCATGTATAAACTATAAAAAAAAAAATATAACTGGACGGATGTCATATCATTTTCTTCACAGATATGTAACAGTATATAGCCTATAAATAATGAAACTATAAATTATAATCAGCAAACAATAAGGCCACACACAGGTATAGTGCACATTATAGATACTACAATTATATATACATGTACCCAACAACCACAATAGGAAAAAAAACATGTATACTTAACTAAAGGCAAGCCCCACTACTATAATACTGATAAACACTAGTGGTGTGTACTAATCAACTGGTATAAGTATTGGAACACAATACCAACACATCAAAACATAATTCATTATTACAAACACAGGACTCCATAATAAATGTGGAATATGAAGCACTGGGTGCTTGTATACGACACTGAACAGTTGAAATTCCTGCAGACATAAATATACGGGTAGGTGTATGTCTTATTCAATCTATCAATTACATAGAGGATAAACAGAGAAGTACATGTCAACTCATGATATTCATATACTAAAAAAAATTGTCAACAGAGATGCAAATCGGATTGAACTTTAAAAAATCTTCAGTATTGGAAGTCTACACAGATTATTTTCTGCCAGTGTTTAACTATTACATAGGAACATCTTTGATGTAAGTACATGTGCAGGGAATTGTTAATGTAAAGAATGACAATTTTATGCTTATGACATCTGTAATTTTACATATTTTGACCATGTAAATTAAATATATCAACATATCAAGAAAAGTTATATATATAAGTTATTAAAAATTCCATATATATTTATCATGAAGACCTTAAATGATCATGCATAACACCTGAGGATGAATAGGTGAACTTGCTGAGCAACCATGATTCTATAACACATAAAAACCTTTTCTGTAAACAATGTCCTGTTCATGCATTGTTGTTGATGCCAAACTGCATCTTCATTAACTTAAATTTCCCTTTCAACAGGGGATTAAAAATTTGAAAATTTGTCATCAAATTAACTATAGAGAAAATACATATGTTTGCAAACAGAAACAAATGCCAATTTATCAACCATATTAGTTTAACTGTCAAATTTGTATATGTAAAGAGAATCACATATTTAAAAGACTTTCTATGTTTTCAATGCATAACTGGCTTTTTAGTACAATAATTGCTATATTTCTAGATGCTGTATGAAAACATCTAAATATGACTAGAAAGTACAGAAGAGATGAACATCACCATAAATAAAAATACCAGTCATATGAGTGTATATCAAGTCAATGACAGTTCTGCAGTACTTAATTATGCAAGTGGAGAATAAAAACAAAGGTGCTTTATACAAAAATAGACTCAGTGTCACTGTTATCACAGACTGTTTATTCTGAGATTTTCTATAGTCATTTTGCACCATTTGATATGCGATTGCTTAGCAATCTCTAGAAGGAAGGATACCCATCTCCAGTGATGCTTTATACATTCTCTCTATCAGTAAACCTCAGTCATTCTATCAGTCAATCATTGCTATCTGAAGCCGCGGACACAGGCACACATTCACAAGCACACAGGACTTTCGCTATACTGATTCGTACTCTCTTTGCCAAGCTGCATACCGTTCCTTCATCTTGCCTGCTGAGGGTTTGGTTCTATCAATGGCTCTCATCACATCAGATGTTGTAATTGTGTCTAGTCGAATGTGTAGGTCACCTGAAATTATATTATTTTAGGATATGAACCAGAGTCTCTGATGAGAAAGTAGCTTTACTGGTTTATAAAAAGAAGAGAAAAGAAGCACTTGAACTTGAAATTATGGCAATACTAAAAAATAAATATGATCCTTGGTTTCGTCTCTTTGAGTGGCAAGTTTTAATGAAATTGGACTAATACTGTACAAAGAGTAGCATTTTGAAAGAAGTTCATAGAAATTTCTATTTTCATTAACCATGACAACAAAGTTTGTCGATATCAAAATCTAATATAAAGTATTATGTTTCATAGTGTAATCTACTTGTGTTTTATTGAAATCGAAGCAAAATTGTAGGAAGAGTATCATTTTGAAAGAATTTCAGAGATATTTCTTTTTTAGTAACCATAGCAACATAGTTAATCCAAATCAAAAACCCTCAATTAGAAATATGTATCATAGTGAATATACATGTACTTGTAAACTAAGTTTTATTAAGAGATTAATTTAACTTTTTGAGAATTCATGAGGACATGAACTACGACGCTTCAAGCCGGCATATTTCATGATGCGCTTCATCATAAATATGCAGGTGTGAAGCGTTGTAGTTCATGTACCTCATGAATTCTCAAAAATTAAATTCATATCTTATATTTACATTATTTTTCAGATGACTGAAGTTTGCACTATTTTTTGACTTCAGTCACATCACAATGGAAATATTCTTACTCATCCCACGGTAGTTCATGAGAACATGAACTTTTTCTAATTTGCAAAGAATGTTAAGGAAAAATATTTGGAAATGTAAATATTCAAAATTAATCACTGAAATTAAACAAGAGGTCTTTGGGTCACAATGCTCCCCTGAGTTACTTTAGCCCTGCTGTTCTTCAGAAGATTTTTAAAAGATTTTTATATTCCCATGAGAAATTGTGACCCCTATTATGGCACCACCCAAATGTAAGGGTTTCTGAATCTGCACACCAAAGAGATGCTTTAATATCAATATAATTAACATGGCCATGTAGTTATGAAGAAGAAAATTCTGTTCCTGTATACATATACATGTATATAGTTGAAAATGTGAAAAGTTTACAGATGGATGGATGGACAGACACCTTACTATTGCATAAGCTCTTCTGGCCTTTTAATCAGTAGAGCAAAAAAAAAAAGATTGCAATTCAACTGATAAAAGTGTTCATTTTTCATGAAATCTCAATATCATACCATGATCATTTTTTTCCAGGGCATCAAAAATTTTTCTGACCGGTCTCATGGCTGCCTCTTTAGAAACTAATCTTAAATCTGAGCCTGAATACCCTTCCGTCTTCTGCAAACAAATAAGCAGTCATTAAGGTTAGCTGTTCTGACCATAAAAATATGTCTATGTCATTTACTGTATGCACAAGTTGGTCAAAATACTTTTGTACAAACTGAAAACCTGATGACATACTGTAGATGTACATTTTTCCACATGGGATTAATTTATGCTTCATACACAGTCACAAATTTTCTGTAGAAATTTGTCACAGCGTACTTAAACTGCATTTACAATATGCAATGGCTATCCAAAAAATCTGCATAATTTTCTATCTGTGGATTGAAGAAAAATTGTAATTCCATGGAATTATGACCCCATGGAAAAAAATAAATTTACAGTATACTGTTTCTTGGATATCATATTGACACATACTGTTGCTAGGAGATCATAATCCAGACTGCTCAGTAATTCCAAACCACCTTCCTTTGGCACAACTACGGTAGGGAGATGATGTTTAAACATGGCTTTCCTTGCTTCATATGTTGGGAGGTCAACAATAATTCTCTTCTCCAACCGACGAAGCATGGCTTGATCCAACTCCCTGTATAAACAGCCATTTTTTACAGGTTATTTAGGTGGGTTCATAAACAAAAAATAAAGAGCTTTATAAGAATTATTTTTCCAATATCCATTACTTATGTGAGCAAAAAATTAAAAGTGACAGGGAAAGACTTACCAGGGTAAATTAGAAGCTGCTAAAAGAAAGACTAAATCATCCGTTTTGGCTAAGCCATCCATCTGCACCAATAATTCAGTTTTCATTCTCCTACTCCCTTCATGCTCCCTGTTAAAACAAATAATGTTTGTGATAAACTCTATGATAGAAGTTTATGATTTTAGTCACATTATAATTGACCAAAATCTTTGCACTGTCTCTTTAGACTGCTCTATTGTGTGTCAGACACGAGTTCTTGTAGTCGAGTTTTCTGAGGATTTACCCGCTGCCTCCCTGTGACCCCCTTTGACTCATGATGGCCTCTAGCTCATCCAAGAAGATTGTAGATGGAGCATAGAATCTAGCCATTTCAAATAGCACCTGAAAATAAACAAGAACAATAGAATTATTACTTTTTAAAAGCAGGACAGTTTTAAAAGTGCACTGCCATGGTGCATGATGTGCCCATCAAATTTTGCTTAATTATCATAAACAGATGAGTGTTCATGGAAGAACGTAAATACACAGATTTCAATGATTTTGCCATTCCTAATGTTTGATGAGTGTATCTCCTATGATGTAGTTATTAATTAGAACATATAGTCATAATATAATTCTCAGCTGGTTGTGTTGGAATTACACAAAAGCTGAGAATGCAGCTTTGTTCATTGTATTTTTATGCATGATGAACAATGCCACAGCCTAATAAAACATCAAAATACTTAGCTAATCATTTTTGTATTATTAGATTGGAAAATTTAATTGCAACCATCTGTCATATTAGTGAGATATGACACTATGCAATTTGGTTGTTGAGATATAAAAATATTATATTACCATAAAACGTCCTGACTTAAGACGGTCATATAAAAACTTTATTTTGATGAAAGATATAATAACCTTGTCTTAATATGAAAACCAATCTCTCCTCCCCCCTTTAACAAATACACACACAGACAAAAGTACGATACAGTTTCTGGTCACTGCATGATACATGTAACTGGTTTTAAGTACACGCTTCTATTTTTATTTATCAAAATTAAAAATAATGACCTATATAAGGACTATGACCTTGATTAATGGACCTGACCCTGACTAGTTTTATTAGAGGTGACAATGGACCTGTCCCTGACTAGTTTTATTAGAGGTGACAATGGACCTGACCCTGACTAGTTTTATTAGAGGTGACAATGAACTAACCATGACTAGTTTTATTAAAGGTGACAATGGACCTTACCCTGACAAATTTTATTAGAAGTGACAATGGACCTGACCCTGACTAGTTTTACTAGAGGTGACAATGGACCTTACCCTGACTAATTAGGTCTTTCCACCTTTCTGTGGAAAGACCTCTTGAAATGCTTATGTTTATTATTATTAGGTCTTTCCACCTTTCTGTGGAAAGACCTATTGATTTTCTTCTGTTTATTAGGTCTTTCCACCTTTCTGTGGAAAGACCTCTTGAAATGCTTATGTTTATTATTATTATTATTTTTCCGTTACGGACTTTTGAACCGAAAGACTTATCGAAAAACTTTATAATTCATGATACTCGACATCAAAAGTTATTTCGAAAAACTACCCAACGAGTATGACCTATGACCCCTTTCGGAGTTCTTGCCCTTTGAACGAAAAACCTTGTTATCGCTACTCCTTCGAAACCATAAACCCCAGAGGTACGAAACCGTTACCAATGTTTTCGACTACTTGAGAGGACTTTTCAATCTTTCATTGCGAAATGATTTGTCGAGCCCTTTATTAAGTTATCGCCCCTGAGAGTTTTCGATGTTTACGAAAAATGAAATATTTTTCAAAACGACAAGTCGTAAAGACATGGGACCAACTGCATTAAATTCTTTGACATTTGACCTTGAAATTTATATAGAGGTCAAAGGTCAAGGTCATTCAAAATATGAGAAAATTAGCTTTTTAAATATCTCTTTTGTCTTTCGACATATTCTGAATACCTTTGCATCTATAATATGTCCTTCTAAAACTATTTTAAGGATTTCATTCTTGTCCCCCAAGCTTGACCCATTCAAAAGTTGTCACCCCTTTCGCAATAAAACCTTGTTATCGCTACTCCTCCGAAACCGTAAACCGTAGAGATTCCAAACCTTCATCAGTGTCTTCGACTCATTTAGTACTCTCTTCATTCTATCATTGCAAAAGCATTCTTTGGACCCTTGTATGAGTTACTGCCCCTGAAAGTTTACGCTACTTACATTTAATGAACTTATTTTTAAAACGGTGTATCCTAGAGACATGGTACCAACTGCTTCGGCATATTTGACCTTTGACCTTGAAATATAGGTCAAGGTCAAAGGTCAAGGTCATTTAAAAACATAAGAAATCCCTTATATATGTGTAAAATATAGCAATTCACCAAATGACCTTGAGCTTTGACCTTGACCTTTGACCTTGACATTGGGTCAAATAGAAAAGTTAGGACATGCATCCAGCTCCAGTATCAGGTGAAAATACAGAAAGTAAAGATTTCTTTCTTTTCTTTTTTTTTTTTTTTGAATGACCTTGACCCTTGACCTTTGACCTTGACTCAAAGGTCACAATAAGGCTTAAGGATGTGGAAGTAGTTACAATTCTTAGTGTAAAAGAGGCATAAAATAAATAATTCACCCCCCCCCCCTTCTTAAAAAAAAAAAAAAAATCACATCAACAACAATGTAGAATATTACTCTAGAATTCAAACCAGACCTCGGATCGACACCAAATTTGGTACAAATGTAGTATAAACCTCAGAGAAACTTTCTGGAGAGTTTTACGGTGAGTCATATAAGTTTATAGAAGTCTTGAAGTTTCACGGCAAAAACTACAAGTTCTGTTGTGTTTGAAATTTAAGTGCAGGTGAACGAAGAAATGATCTAAACCTTTTATCGGCTATTTCTTCAGATGTCGTTAGTAGCATTTAATTCTCCTGATATGATACGACATTTTAATACCAAGCATTCTCTCTTTCTGTTACATTTGGAATTTATTTGATTTTTATTTAGAATTAATCAGTTTCCAGAAATAGCGATTTTCGGTATATTAAAAACTATTCTCGCTTTCATTGTCGTCTTTCCCTTCTAAAACTGAATGTTGGGAATTTAATTTGGGCTACACATATTTAATTAAACCCAAAGAAATGCTTATTTAAATGTTTCATATTTATTTCAGGATATTCAGTCAGAAATGTTAAAATCCGAACCCGATCTTTTAAGCTTACAACGAAGCTATTTACAAAAAATTCAGCATGCTCACAATATCGATGAATCGGGCTACAGTCCATTAATACATTTTCATTAGGGAACAGTGTTAACGTTTTCTCACGCAGCCCGTCCCTTACTATTCCATATACTGCTTGCAAATTCAGGAACTATTTCCTTTTACGGAACTTCTTTCTTCCCCTACCGATTCCAAAAATACGCTTGCATTTCTTCTATAGTCTTAAACAATTAACTTACGTATGTTATCGGAAAGCGTGGCCGAATGGTTAGCGCACCTGCCTTTCAACCCAAGGGTTTTGAGTTCGAGCCCAGCTGGAGGAGCATTTTTTTTTTTTTTTTTTTTTTGGTGCATTTTTTGCATTTTTCTCCTTTTTTTCAACCCAAATGACACGGAAACACTTAAAAAGGTGGAAAGGCCTCTAATTGTTCTCTGAACAATTAGTCTCCTAGTGCTTTATTAGGTCTTTTCACCTTTCTGTGGAAAGACCTCTTGAAATGCTTATTAAGGTCTTCCGTCTTCACGGAAGACCTTATAGTGATTCTACTGTTTCTTATTAAGGTCTTCCGTCTTCACGGAAGACCTTATAGTGATTCTACTGTTTCTTATTAAGGTCTTCCGTCTTCACGGAAGACCTTATAGTGATTCTACTGTTTCTTATTATTATTATTATTATTTTTTTCCCCAAAATTTTGTGCAGGCGATTTCTCAAAAACTATTCAGTGGTTTTAAATGAAACTTTCAGGAATTATGCATCGTCAAATGAACTTTGTTCATCAGAAGGAAAATTTGGAAAACTCGCTTCTGGTGCCAAGTTATTGACAGTTTTCTGATTTTAAAATGAAATTTTGTCCCCCCTTTTTTTCAAAAATGGTTTAAGATATGAACTGGAGACTTGTTAGAGATGATAGGTTATGTCTTCTAGATGAGGGGAATCACCTTTTTGTGCGTCGTCAATACTTCCCGTCGTTACCGGATGCGAATTTTAAAAAGTCGTATTTTTAAACTTTTTTGTTTTTCTATATTTTTCTTTTATTTTAATAAGGTTAATAGAGACTCTTCTGAAAATGCTTTATATATAATTTATTTTAGAATTGATCAATCCAAACTCTAGATATTCGCATTTCTAAATTTGAAGCGGGTCCAAAATGGCGGCTGTCTCTGTAAACTCCGATAAGTAGGTCAGAATTTACGGAGTCAGCCGAGCGTTTGTTTGAATGAAAGTACCATAAGGATCAAAGAAATGTGAAGGAAATGTTGGATTGTCACATCACAATTACGTTGCAATTCTGTTTCGCAATAGAGTTTTAATCTGGGGTTTCCTCAAACGTCTACTATAATTTTTCTTGTCTGTATCTCAAAGTAGAAAAACGACATGACTACAAGTGGAAATACGATAACTACAACCTTTTGTTTTACACCACGGAAAAACTGATCCTAAACCATGGTTATAAGTAAAAGCTTTTCAAGAAACTTGCCTGACTAAAGCAATCAATATATAGTAATTATTACGTGGCCATTGTTTTTTCCCCATGCAGGCTTGTGTCATATTAAATGAACAGAAAAGACAGAAATAAGAAAACTATTTTTAAAGATTGTTTAATGAAAATGATTTAAATATTTTTTTTCTAAAAGATGTTGTTATTGAACATAAATGGTATCAGATTCCTTGACCGTCGCAGGACGAGACATGTTTTTGGGCGAAACATTCTAGTCTTCCCATGAATGTGTAACTAATCGGGATAGTCCACTTTGGGGGTAAACATGAAAATAAAACTTGTAGAAAATCTTACCTAAATCACTGCTTCAGTGTTACTTATCCATAAGATATATAATAAGTACAATATGATAAAAATACTTTCTCAAGCTCGATATTCAGGTTATAAGAACATACATTTTGAAATTTCATTGAAACCATCACCATTCAAAAGAAAATACATTCCAAAGGAAATGCGCGAATATTTACCCGTGACGTTTCGCGCGAAATAATGTATCGTGACCAACCTTTCGTGGTAGACAAATGGTCTGATGCAGAAGTACATAGAAGTGCAGAAAAAGATTAAATGGACATGCCTGTATATGGAATTACATGAAATAAAAAGTTGAACACATAAAGAATAAAAGAAAGTAAACAGTATCATCAGAGAATGGCTAAA